GACTCAAAGACGAACTCGCGGTGAGTGAATGACAAGTGAGAATGAGAATGTCCGAAGAGACAGACAGAGAGGGAGGGAGGGAGGGAGAGTTGCCCGCGGTGCGGTGGCTGGATGCTGCTCACTTTCTCTCTGTGTGTGTGCAGGTGCGGAAGCAGCTGACGGACAAGGTGGAGGAGAACAACCGAAAGATCAAAGCGGTAAGCACTCCACTCCAGCCCACACAAGAATGCCGTGTAGAGTACTCCCTGTTTTATGTATGTTTGTGTGCGCGTAAGGCTGAGAAGCGCAAGGCGGAGAAGCGCGCCTTCCTGCAGGAGACCGCACGCAAAATCAGTGAGCAGCCAACCGTCGGACACGCCCTCACACCCACACACACCTCATGTGTGTGCGCTTGTGCTCTCTCTGTGTGCGCGTGCATCCAGGCATCCTGAAGAAGGGCATGGAGACAATCCAGGAAGGTCAGTACAGTACGTGTCTGTGTAGGTGGTTGGTAGAAGTGCACTGCCTCTCCACTCTCTCTCTCTCTTTCTTTCTTTGTGTGTGTGTGTGTCTGTGTGTGTGTTAGATCTGCACATCAAGGAGGCCGAGGGCGCCGAAGACCCGAAGGCCAAAGGCCTCCCGAGACCCCTCTACCTCATCTACAGGAAGTTCAAAGGCACTGACTAACACCCACCCCGCCAAACACACAAACACACACACCAACCCACACTCCCTTCCTCCCTCCCTCCGCAATGCATTCTCTCTCTCTCTCTCTGTGTGTGTGTGTGTGTGTGTAGCGCTGAAGGAGTACACCGACGCTCATATCACTGATGTGTCTGTGGCTGGCGAGCTCACGGCCGCCGACACGAGAGACATTCACGCGCCGCCCCAGAGGGACCACAAGAGGAAGACACCACCCACAGCAACAACAGCTGCACCAGAAAAAAGCGGACAGGTGCGCATCTGCGTGTCTAATCCTTTCTCTCGGTGGCAGTTTTCTCTCTCTTTCTCTCTGTCTCTGTCTGTGTGTGTGTGTGTTCATGTGTGTCACAGAGTGAGAAGCGGCAGCGTGGTGCTGATGGTGCCGCTGTCGCTCGGGCGGGTGGCGATGCCGCCAGCACCACCACCAGCACCGCAGCCACCCCCCATGTGCCCGTCAAGACGCCTGAAGTGGTGAGCGAGCGAATGGAAAACACGCCGCGTAGGTGTGTGGATGTGTGTGTGTATGTGTGTGGATGGTGGATGGCGTCAGAGCGCCGAGGACTACCGCGTGTGTGGGCTGCGCGTGTCGGTGACCATTGCGGAAGACCCTATCAACACGCAACTAGCCGTCCCTGTAAGACATGCACACACACACACACACACATCTCCCCAACACACGCTGTGGTGTCTGTGTGTGTGTGTGGTGCTGCAGAGTGGCAAGTTGATAAGTCAGCCGATGATCAGCATGGGTGCGGGGACGTGGCAGAGCGCCAACTCGTTCCCCGTGACCATCACCTTCCAGTACTTGCCCAAGCTCGACCTCCTCTGCGCCGCCTGCACACAAACACGGTACGCGGCGAGGATCTTTACACACACACATCTCTCTCTCTCCCTCTCCCTCTCCGTGTGTGTGTGTGTGTGTGTGTCTGCGCGTTCAGGAATATGTCTCAGAGCGAGAGGGTGGCGGTGCTGGTGGATCTCTTCCAGTTCGACCCCCACCTGAGCGGCGACACCGGCCTGACCTCACCCAAGGCCATGCACGAGGGCCTGGCGCTCAGATTTGGCACGGATAACACCACTGGGTGAGCGACAGACGAGGGAGGGAGGGAGGGAGACCACATTTATGTGTGTGTGTGGTTGGGCGGTCCAGTGAGTACCGTCCCTACAAGTGGCTGCAAAAGTTGGGTGGCATTTTCTGCATCAAACAAGACGCCACACACATCCACATGACACAGCAACAGCAGCAGACACCGGTAGCCCCGCACACCAGCACCCAGCCACACACACGCACAGGCCATTCTTCCTTCTCTCTCTCTCTCTACACACAGAGGCAGCAGCCGACCGAGCAAGACGTTGTGGAGAGAATCCGCACCAGAGGTACGCGCCCCTCCCTCCCACACACCACAGGCAGACACCGACAGCCTCTGTCTATGTCTGTCTGTCTGTGTGTCAGTGGCTGCCCGTGGCTGGAGGTGGTACAACGTGCAAGTCATGAGGTCACACCCACACACATACCCTCACACACACATCCATCCATCCATCCATGTGTGTGTGTGTGTGTGTGCAGGAAGCTCCAGGGCACCCCGCGCAATGGCGAGACCCCCGGGCTGCCCGAGCCCCTCAAGCACCGCAACGCCCTCTTCCCGCCGGCGGCATCCAACCTGGACATCTTTCACCTCCTCGAGCCTGATGCAGCGGCAGCAGCGGCAGCAGCAGAGAGGGAGAGGGAGGGAGAGGGAGGGGGGGCGGCGCACAGCGCCAAGGCCGTCATTTCGGTGAGCGCGGAGAGTGGGAGAGTTCGAGAGACGGGGGGGGGGGG